GCCTAAATTCTAAATATTGAATGAGAAATAAAAGAATGTTCATATTAAAAAATATACTGAAGATGAAATTGAATTATAAATATTAGAAAGATTAAAATCTTTTTAATTTTCATAATTGTAATCTTGTGTTAATTAATAAATTCAATAGAGATTTGAAAGTGAAGGAGATGTTTTGCCAACTCTAAAGTAATTTAGATTTTTATATAAATAGTTTACCTGATTGTGAGAAAAAGGAATTAGAAAAAGAAATTATTAATATGAGAAATATAAAAATACCAGTTGTTTATCCTGATATCAAATAAAAAAAGATATAATAAATTGTATATGATCATAAAAAACTCAATCATTTTCCAGTTCGTAAGGTCAAAAGAATTATTCTTAATTAAACAGAAGATGAATAAGCTGATACTAATAATTCTTTTGATCAAAATCTTTGTAATTAAAAGCAGAGTATTGCACAATCACATAGACTAAAACTTTCCTTAGGTGATAATAAGGTTCCATTTGCCATTAAAAAATAAGATTAAAATTATGTATATATTCAAGGATATTATTTAAATCATGAAGGAGTATCTACAAAAATTAATGCTAAAATTCAGAAAAATAAAAATTCTCAGCCTTCCAATGAATTTTAATATAGATTATTGAGAAGAAAAGATATTCAATAAAATCAAATATCAAAAAAAACTTGGTCTGGAAATGATGTTTTAAAATTAAATGAATCTAGATTGTTTAATTTCAGAGATGTATTAAAAAGACTAAATTTTATTGATATTTAAATTTGGATGCTTGGAATTTAAGGTAAGATAGAAACATTGCGTAAATACTCCTATCTATTTATTACATCATAAATAAGCTAATTGTTTTTTGATTGTGTTATCTTAATAAATTTTACATTCCTATCTTTGTAAGGAATAGCTGATTCAGTAATAATTTCAAATTAAGAGGATGTTTCAACAATATTCTTATGTGTAGAATTAGTATTAAGATTTTTTGCTTTTTCTTTTAAGGAAATATCTTAAAGTCCTGATTATGTATTATAATCTTGCATAGTAATTTTGAACTTCATCGAACTCACAATGAGTTCAGTGATGACAAATTTAAATGAATAAAATCTTCGGTTGATAAGAGGGACAAAATGTCTTCTATTTTATAGAGTATTAAAATATAACAAGATGGCAGTAGCAATTGGACATATTGCATAGAAAACATTTCGATAATATATATATTTGACATTCTTATTTTTTTTAGTTATCTTTGTTTATGCAATGATTGGTATGGAAATGTATGCTGGTTATTTTGATTAAACAGATGCTTTAGGATAATTGCATTCATATGATAATATTTTTAAGGCATTTATGACTATATTTAATATTTTAACAAATGATGATTGGTATGGAGTTTATGTTTTGGGAGGTAATATTAATTATGTATTTGCTGTAATTTATTCATATTCAATGGTCATTTTATTAAATTATATAACATATGGTTTAGTGTTGGCTATATTATTAGATGGATTTGGAACAATAAACAAGGAAATGTAGGAATTGGAAGAAGAAATAGAATAAGATGAGGATAAAAATAATGAGAAATAGGAAGAATAAAATTCATAAATAACAGAATAATAAGAAATAAATGAATTTTAATTAAATTTAAAACCATTTATATCATAAATTAATTTAGGTGAACATCAATAAAAAAAATCTAAATAGAATCTAGTCTAAAATCTAATGAAATCAATTAGATAAGTTCATAAAGATATATTAAATAAATATCCTAATTTATATGATGGAATTCAATGTAAATAATCATTGTATTTATTTGAAAAAGAAAACTTTTTCAGAATATTATGTTGTAGAATAATAACATCAAAATTCTTCAATTACTTTATGGATACTGTATTGTATTTTTCAATAGTAGTATTTGCTTTGAAGACTTATAATGATTACGAGAGTGATTCATCGTATTATCCAGAAATCTTATAATTCATAGCAAATATAATCTTTTTATTAGAAATTATTTTTGGTAGCATTGCTAAGGGAATGTGGATGAATAAAGGAGCTCATATTACATATACATGGCAAATAGTTGATGTAATTTATATAATTTCATTTTTCTTTCATTTCCTATCAAATAAAGAACAAATCACTATAGTGAATTTCTTTTTATATTTAGGATATTTTAGAGTAATGAAATTAATGTATAGAATATCATGGTTAAATACATTACGATTAGCATTAGGTAGATCTTTAGCAGATATTTGGAATGTATTGATTACTATGCTTTCAGTTTGGATTATATTTGGAGTTTATGGAATCATTTTATATGAACAATAGTTTGGATTTTGTGATGATAAAATGTAATTTGAAATTAATAAATAAGAATGTTAAGAGTAGAATAGGACATGGATTAATTATAAACATAATTTTGATAATATAACTATAGCTATTCCCACTCTATTTGTAGTGTCTACTTTTGATGGATGGGGTGAAATTATGTAAATATCAGAAAATAGTTAAAATTCTAATATAGGGCCTTCAGCATTTAATAGTTACATTCATACTTACTTCTTTTTTATATCATTTTGTTTTATTGGATCAATGTTTTTTTTGAGTTTATTTACAGGAGTCTTATATTCAAATTTGAAAGCCAATTAGAGTAAAATTGAAATGTCAGATATAACAAAAGCTCAATTAGAATTTATGGAAATCTCATAAATAATTATTAAAGACTTTCCATTGTATTCTTCACCTCCTACATCTACTATTAGAAGATTTGCATCTGATTTAACAAATAATCTTAGTGTTTAAAAAGTTATGTTTTGTTTATTATTAATTGATTTATTAGTTTTATTGCTTTTCTTTTCAGAGATGGATGACAATCTTTTCATAGTATTAAATAATATTCATAATTGTTTAACTTATATCTACATAATGTGGAATATGTTCCTATTTTTAGCATTAGGAGTTAACAGATTTTTTGATAATCATTGGAGAAGATTCTACTTCTTCTTAATTATTATAGCCATTATTGATATTATTGCAGATTATGAATCAGATTGGGCTTTGATCTATTTCAGATCATCTCCAGCTGATTCTGGATATTAAATACTTAGGTTATTTTTTGCTCTTAGATGTTTAAGAATTATATTGATTTTCTAAGGATTAATAAATCTATAAAGATTAATGAGAGTAATGGTCTTTGCTATGCCATTTTTGGGAAAGATATTTTGTTTATTAATTATTACAATGTATATTTTTGCACTTTTTGGTTGTTAATTATATGGTTAATTAGAAAAAGGATAAGTAATGGATGATTAAATTAATTTTCAAAATGTTGCTTAAGCTATGTTATCACTTTTTAAATGTGCATCAGGTGATGATTGGAGAACTATAATGACTGATACTATGTTCTATAACCCTAATTGTGTTGATGACGACATTTATTGTGGAAGTATTTCTAATTAAATCTATTTTTTCCTCTTTATGTTATTATCAAACTATGTTCTATTAAATTTGTTTGTCTTAGGTTTAGTTGAATAATTCGAGTAATTTTTTATGCTTTAAAATTCTATGATTTAAACTTATGTTGAAAATGTTGATAAAATCAAAACTATTTGGTGCAAATATTCTTCAGAAACCAAAGGTTAAGCTATGCATTATAAATTTTTGTGTCGTTTCTTGTTAGATATTGGGAAACCATTGGGTGGAGGAAATGATGAAAATTTATGGGATGTTGGAAAATTGGCTTCCTCATTTAAATTATAATGGTATTTATTAATATTAATAAATTTAGTGATCATTTTGGATATATTCAATATAATTAATTAATATATGAATTATTTAGAGTTTGTTATCATATTGAAGTATTCAAGAATGGTACATCTTCATCAATTAAGAAGATCAAATAATTTAATAAAGAAATGCAATTAAGATTAATGTATTATAGAAGAAACAGATTTCTATAAAGAAGTAATATAAGTCCTATTCTACATTTGAAAGCCAACTTCAATATTTTACATGATTATTTGACAGTACTCATCTTGTACAAAGCATGGGAGGCTTTCTCTAAAAAACTAATTAAGAAGTTAGCAGTTAAATAGAAATAATTCACTGAAGAAGATTTAGAAGAACAGGATTCTTCTTTTGACTAAAAAACTATTAATAATCAATAGTAATTTTTTAAATCTAAAAATTAGTATTGATCAAGATTGTAATGAATTTCTTGAAGAAGAGGTTGTAGAATAAGTCATATCAAATGAACAAGCTAGACCAGAAAATATCCATCAAAATACCAATTGTTCAGATGATGGTCATTCTAAAAAGGAAGATATTCCTATTTATAGATGGCAAAGTGATTAACAATCAGGAGGATTATAAGAACAAGCCTTAATATCTCCAGATCAATCATTCAAATTAAGAAAATTTTGATTATTTCATAATACTATTGATACTCTATTATTTATTCATTATTTAATATACATCAACAGAATTCTAAATTTTGTTAATTCACAAATTACTTTATAATTAATTAAAGTCCAGCAAAAATTAATCTTTCATGAATATCGATTACTAATAAAAAAATTCTCCAAATTCCAATCAAGATGAATATGTCAATATGGATACTGATTTATAGGATAAATGCTAGAATCAAATAGAAAATGACTATTTCTCTAATAAAATTGAAACTCATAAATTTGTTGTAGGTATATCTAAACCTGGTGAGATGAGGATTGGATTACAAACTATAAACAAAAATAAAATCACTGTCAAAGGAATTCTTGGGATACATGAAAAATGATGAATATTTAAATTATTTCTTCTTAATATTTGATAATTTTATAATTTACTCTGTTACTATTTGGATCTATGTTTACAGTCTTCAATTTATCCTTAAAATTATCTTATGATATATTGAATTATTTGCAATTCATATATCTATAACTTATAACAAACTTAATTTTCATCAAGTCAAATAAAATAACTTATTATTTTTTTATAATGAGAATTTTAATAATTAATTGCTATGATAACAAAGACCTAGAAAAATTTTAACATTTCCAATTTCAAGTTATGAAAGTAAAATCTAATACTAATATAGTATTTAGCTGAATAAAAAGAGTTAATAGATACAGAAAATGAATTTTATGTTCGTAATAGAGATACTATAGAAGACTTTCTATATGAAGTAGAAAGTTCTTATGTAAAAAAGGAAGCAGCTCTAAAATTCGATCAACTTGATGTCATCTTCATTATTGGAGATTGTCATACACGACCTTGGGCTGTTCATATGGGTATGAATCTAAGGATCATAATTAGCAAAAATATTGGTTTTGTTGAGAATGTGTTTAAGAGTATAGAAATTACTATTTGCTTCAGGATTTGCCATGTAAGCCTTAGTATATTTATCAGCATCTAATATTGAAAGAGTAATAACTATATATTATATATATTAGCCTATCAATCTAATCAATTAGAATGGTGGTAAATTATCAGATCTAAGAGAGTTGAAAGTTCAAATTTAGTAAAGTGATATGTTTTTGGAAAATACATCAGGAGATTTATATGTTTTTAATTATGAAACTTCTGAATGGATTCCAAAATTGAATGTAGGTATCCATTTAAGAAGTGCAGCATAAGAATTTTAATCAATAGGAAAGTATGTTGTTAAAGCTCCTATTTACAAATCTAAACAAGTTGGGTCATTTTTAAGTAAAAATAAAAACACTGAAACTGTTGTTTCAATAAGAAATGTTTATTTATAACATTGGGTAATATTAATTAAATTAAAACAAAAAAGGCATTTAAAGATATTGAATCACGATTTTTAGCACCGTTATTGAATAGATGGGATGTTCACAATTTCTAATTCAATAATTCTGAAAAGAAATTTATATGTCTTGCAGAAAGTGATGAAGGGCCATCAATTATTGAATATCCAAAAGCTTTAGCATGTATGTTTGAAATTGATACAAAATATCCCTTTACAAATACTTTACTTAAGAACTTTGTATAATATGCTATGTACAACATTAAAGTTTCAAAGTAAGAAAAAACTTTAAATTATATTTAAGTTCCTCAAAACCTTTTGATTCTATTGAAAATTATCACAAAATTAATACAAAATCATCATCTATTTTAGATCTTCTAAAAAACAATAATAATTAGAATTAAAAGAAAACTACTCTCGAATTAATGTAAATAAGAGGTAAGAATGGGATAGCTTCACATAGTCAACAAAAATTAACATATGCTTAAGAAGAATAAAAATTACAATAAATGTAACACACTCTCAAAAGAAGAAGTAGTATTGCTCATGTAGGATTTACTTTAAATAAAAATGTACCTATTAAACCAGTAGAAATTAATGCTGTAGGGAAAAGAAGAATAAAATATTAACAAGGACTATAACATTAAAGAAAAATTAGTGCTGATGATGCATATTTAAAATCATAAAGAGATAGTGAAAATGATGCTTTTAATGAACCATAAATAATATAGAAAACTTAAACTCTTAAAACACCTAGTCAATCAGAAATAAGAAAAATGTTACATCCAGAAATTTCAAAATCTTGTTTGGAAAACAAAGAAATTTGGATTCCAGGATATTTATCTGAGTATTAAAAAACTTAAGGTGATAAACGAATAAGTAAGATTGGAGGATCTTTTCAATCAAATTAAAATACTTAAAGGAAGAGATGGATTTGATGAAAATTTTTGAGAATAATACTAAATTTATATTATTTATATGCTTTAGTCTTTTTTAAATTGCTTCAAAAAGTAAACGAAGTTTAGGATGAATCGAGATTATGGAAAGGATATCCTATCTTCAGTTTAAGACATTTTGCCCTTCTCCTTTTAGAGACATTAATATAACAAGTAAAATATCAATTAAATAGGAAGCCATAATAAGGAATTTTAAGCAACAAATGATTTAAATAGGTTAAACTAAGAATAAGTGATTTTTTCACCAAATCCATCATAAGCAAACATTCGTTTACATTTTTTAGAAAATGTTGATGAACAGTTTTAAAAAAATGAGAATCCTTATTATTGCTAATTTTCTTTAGATTATTTTGGAATGAATAATAAATTTAGACAATATTGCATTTTAATAAATGAATCTCGAGTTTATTAATATCTTGTGTACTTATTCGTATTATTTACAAACTATTTAGACATCATTTTGTATTGTAATTTTAATGATTAAACCTTACAATGATTAGGAAAGTGGATTTGGATTTAGTTTAAATAATGATTAGATAATAGGTGTAATAATTGCAGCAGATGTAATATTTTCTATTCATCATCTTATTTCAATAGTTTCTTATGGGTATTTAAAATAATTATATAGATTATGGAGTTGTAAATATGGATATTATAGAAATCCTATAGCATTTATAAATGGAATAGCCTTATTCTTTGCATTAATATTAAGACAATCTTATTTTTATACCTTAAGAATATTATTCTTGCTTGAATTTTTTATGCATTACAAAATATTAAGAATAGTCCGAAAATTTTGTTTGACAGTAGAACATTCATTTATATCAATTGTTTATATTACAATAATAATTTGTTTTTTCTTTTATGTATTTGCTGTTGTAGGATTGTAAATTTGGACTGGAATTTTAGGAAATTATTGTATCAACAAAAATAATGAAGTTGATTTTTATCCAACTAGATTTTGTGGTTTGGGAAGAAGTTGTTCTGATGGATATGAATGTTAATAGGGTGAATTTGAATAACCTTTTATTTAATATTCACATAATTTTACTAGATTTGATTATATACAAGAATCAATGTCTAGTTTATTTATAGTTCATTATATAGAAGGATGGGTAGAAATAGAATAAAGTTTAGCAGATTCTTTCAATAAATATGTAAGTACAGGATATTTATGGACTTATATATTTATATGTTCATTCTTTTTATAAAATTTAGTTGTTGCAATATTTCTTAAATAATCTCAATAAGAGATGCATTTAGATGAACCTGTTTAAACTGTATTATTTTTAAATAGTCATACTAAAATATCATTAACAAATGAAAAAAGAAAGACTGTGTTTTAGAGTCCTAATTATCTTAGTAAAAGTAAACAAAGAGTTATGATGATGCTTATGAATTCAACAAAAAGAAATAATGATTAAAGAAAGATTAGAATAATTATCAAATCAATTTTATAATCAAAAATAACATAATATTTTTATAGTCTTTTATTTTTGGCTAATCTTGTTGTTTTATCTTTAAATGATGAATCAGCATATAAAAATAATTTAGAAGGTACTTTAGCTAAAGTAAATATAATATTTCTAGTAATATATTTATTAGAAGATATAGCAAGAATTTATATTTGGAAATAAAAGGAAAGTAAAATAGTAGTTTTATTAGAATTTATATGTGATTTTGTTGGTTTGATAGTATAAGTCAATTAAATGGAACATCCTTTTATATTAAATACAATTAAAGGAATAAGATTATTATGGGTGTTTAATTATTAAACTAGTTGGTCTAATTATAGAGTATTATTATCAGCATTATGGAAGTCCTTTAATAATATTCCTATAATGATTTTAATACTTTTTATTTATGGATTAGTAATTGGTTTAATGGGTAGAAATTTTTTTGCTGGAAAATTAAGATTTAATGATTTAGGATTCTATGATTTAAATGGTTCTTATATTCCAAGAGCAAATTTTGATAGTATGAGAGAAACTATTACTACATTATTTATAATCATATCTTCAGATTAATGGTAAACCATATTTTATACAACTTTGGAAACTGGATCTTGGATTCCATATGTCTTTTTTATTTGTGTCTAATTTATTTGTAAATTCTTTATATTACCTTCTTTTTTGACTTTAATGCTTGATAATTATGAAGATGCTAAAAATGAAGCTGATCTTTCAAAAGCTAGAGCAACTAAAGTTATTTCAACAATGTAAAATAAATCAAGAATTGTACCAACAAAAGAGACTTCATTATTATAGGTTAGTAATTCATAATCTGATAAGAAACGCTTTTTTGGAAGATTGTCAAAGGTATCTGATGATAGTGATAAAGAAGAAAGTCATTAAAAACAACATTAAATATTAAGAAGACAATAATCTAAATATTATTAAGTATAAATATTAAAAAGTGGTGATGATTCTTAAAATGTCTCTGTATCTTCATTTAATCGTAAAGAATATTTTGCTAATTCATCACTTTTTATTCTACATAATAAATCTAATTTAAGGAAGAAATTACATATATTAATTCAATAAAAATATTATGATTGGGGAATGAGTTTCATAATATTATTAAATTTAATACTTTTAGGATATGATAGACCACTTAGATAAGAATAATTAATTATAGATGTATTTAATTATGCATTTAATGGTATTTTTATATTAGATGCATTAATCAAAATATTAGCTTAAGGTTTTTATTGGAATAAATTAGAACCTCAAAAATCTTATATAATGAATAATAATAATTAATTAGATTTTGTTATTCTTATTATTAGTTCTCTTGATGATCTTAATATTTATAAGAGTTAATATCTTAAAGCCTTTAGAGCTCTAAGAACTCTAAGAATTCTAATAACATTAAGGGTAATTAATTTAGATATATTTAGAGAGGTTCATAAAATGAGTAATTAAATTTAATATCCAGATCCTTATTATAAACTATCTCATTACTTTCATCAATGATTTTTGTAACTGGCATAAGTCTATGGATTTTAAGTATCATTTGTATGACAATTTGGAAAGGCAAACTTTATTTTTGCTCTTAAGTATCTTTGAAAGACTTTAAAGAAATTATTACTACAGAAGATTGTTTAGCTAAAGGAGGTTAATGGATAAATAATATAACTAATTATGATACAATTTAAGATTCTTTACTTTGTTTATTCAGATTAATTATTGGAGAGGGTTGGACATAATAAATGTTTAGTGTATCTGATATTACAGATAGAGGACTCAATCCTAAAATTAATTCATCATCTTAATATTAATTCTTCTTTTATGTTTTGATCTTTTCATTGAATATTGTATTACTTAATCTAATTACTGGTTTAATTATAAATAATTACAGAACTATAAAGGAGAATATTGCAAATTTTTAATAATTAAATGAATTTTAAAGATAATGGATATAAATGATGTAAATAATGTAAAAGAAAAAACTAATATATCTAATACCTAAACCTTCAAATAAATATAGATTAATTTGTTATCATTTGGCTAGTAACTAATATTTTGAGACTGTCATACTAATTTTGCTTATAGTTAATTTAATATTGTAATTATTTTCTAATATCTAGTTGTTCATCTTATAGTGGGAAGTAGAATATTACTACTTAAGAGGCATTATATGGAATGAGTATTTTCTTTATAGTAATTTTCCATATTGAATTGTTCATCAAATTGCTAGCATATTGGGTTCATTTCTTCAGAGATATTCTAAATAAATTTGACTTAATCATTTTAATAATAACTGATTTACTTTTAATTATGAAAGATAACTTTGATATACCAAGACTTTATACTATTCCACTTATTATTAGATCTTTGAGAATCATAAAAGCCAATAAATTATTTAGATTTAATAAATAATTAAGAGTTCTTATTGATGTGATTTAAGATTTAATGCCTACATTATTAAGTGTTATTGTTTTCATTGCAATTACTATAATTATATATTCACTTATAGGAGTTCAAACTTTTTCAACAATATGGAGTACTTCATCAGATCCTCAATATCCTTATACAATGGAGGAAAACTAAAGAACTAAATCTTTTTCCAATTTTTTAGATGGAGTATTAATTTTAATTGATATTTCAACTGGTTAATATTGGTCTTTGTATATGGCTGATTATACAATTGATACTAAAGGATGTCATACATAAACTCCTGAATAATTTGAATTAGAAGGTGCTCGTGGTTGTAGTACAATCTTTGGTTATTTTTTCTTTATAAGTTTTTTGGTTTTAATTCGCATAATAATGACTTCATTATTTTTAGCTATGATTATTGAATCTTATTAAGAATGTTAATTAGAAAATACAGCAGCTATAAATCCATATTAATTAGAAGATTTTTTAGTTAAATGGTCCGATTATGATCCTCAAGGTACAGGTTGGATAACTCCAGAAGATTTTGCATTTTTGATGTTCGAAATAAATCCACCTTTAGGATTTAAAGATGAAAATTCGCAATATTATGATTTTGCTGCTGCAAGTAAAATAGAAAACGATATTTAGAAAATTAAAAATTAAAGTCCCATTTCTATAACCATAAGAAAAAAATGAGATTATTTAAAACTGAAATCTTTTAAAAACTAAGTGATTATCAAATTTAAATATATCAAAATTAAATGGTTCATTTTAAAGATATATGCATTCAATTAGCTTATAATGCAATAAAAAAGAAAAATGAACTTAAAGGTATAGAATAAATTGAAGATAAAATTATTCTACGTTAAATAAGAAAATCATGGGAATCCAGATATCCTGATTTAATTGGAAAGAAAACATAATAATTTGTAGTAGATATTTTTGCTATAAATTCTATTACTGATATTTTAAGAGGGTATTAATAATATTAATTTAGAGTTATTGAGAGAAGAAAAATAAAAAAAAGAATTAAAGAAATGTAAAAGGAAAAAAACTTAAAATAATTAGAAATTAATGAAAATGCTTAATTTACTACAAAATCTATTCTCTAAAGATATAAAGGTAGAAGAAGGAGTTAAGTAAGATAAAGAGTTTATAATTTTGTATAAACAAATTCATTTAGAAGAAGTGAAATAAATGTTGTTGATCCAGAATCAGGAGGTATCCATTAACCAAAGAGAACTGTTTATCAAAATTATTAATAATAATAATAAAATAAAGAGGACAAAAGTTCTTTAACAAATCTTAACTTTTTTATTGATCCAGATGAAATGTGTAATGGATTTCCAATGAAAGTTGTACATGAAACATAAAAAATTGATTTTCCTGCCATTAAATCTGATAAAAGTTTAGGAACTCTCTTATTATCTTAAAGTGAAAAATAAGTCAAGAAATTAGGAGGTTACATATCAGAAAAGTGTTCTGATGAAGAAAATCAATAAGATAGTGTAATATAAAATTTCAAGAGAAATGACATGTTTGAATGATGTAATTATAATATTATTGAGCTTTTATTTTTATTAATTCTATAATCTTCATACAGATATTTTAATATTAAATATAATTAGAGATGTAAAATATGTCTCCTTACTTAAATTATTAAATTGCTTTAATTTTAATATTATTTATATTGAGTTATTTATGAGAAGAGCTTTAAAAAAGAAGAAAATAAATGATAAATTAGGAAAGTTAGTATTCAATGTTTTAGTACGATTGTAATAAATAAGCATCAAAAACAAAATTGAGCCAACATTGTTTAATCTAGTATTTGCAAAAATCCTTCTATTCATCTCTGCCTTACAAGAAATATAATTGATCACTTCAACAGAATTTCAAAATTAAACATCTATGTAAATTCAGAGTTCTATATTGTCTTTTTAATAAAAGTTTTCCATTAACTTAATTAAATATGATAAAGACGAACTATTATTATTTTTAATGCTCTTTATTCAAGTATTATACATTTTAGTGATAATAATAGTTTATTTTGATAAGAATGAAAAATTTATTCTGGTAGGATAATTTTTCAAATATTTTCAAAATATTTATCATATGATTATACTTCTTCCTACTTTAAATATTTCATTTAATTTTGCAATCTCTTTAAATTATATAGAACTATCTATTATTGGAATAATAATAGGTTTATTTCTAGAACTAATTTATTGTTTTTGTAATATATAAAATAGTTTAATTGAAATTGAAGGCTGTTACTCATTAAGACTGGTTAATTTATATTACCTACTTATGTAGTTTATAATTTGTTTTGTAGTGCAAAGTAATCAATAATATTGGGTAGCCCCAACTCTTTTGTTGTTTTCAAAATTATTCATGATTACATAAAAGATAAATAATTATCAATATAACAGTTGGTACTATTTACAAATTTCAAATTTCATAATATCATATATTATAGTGTTTTTGATAAATCAATATTGGTAAGATTTAGTTTTGATTTATATTTTGTTGATAAGTATCTAAATTTCAATTAGGTAAAAGAAACTAGGTGAAGAATTATTTTCGAAAAATTCATAATAAAATTTATTCAAATATAGTATTTTTAGAAATCCTGAATTGATGAAGAATTTTTCATCATACTCGCATTTTTTTACAGCTACTTAAGAATAGAATATCATTAAGTACTAAAAATAAGTTTTATAAAATGGTAATATTTCTGATAGATTATCTATATTATAATATGTTTTCAAATATAAAAAAATACAACTCTATTTAAATTTAGTAAATATAGATAAAGCAAATTTAAGTTATTTACAATAATTAACTTTAGATGCAAATTTATTAAATGTCATTTAATCCTGTGATGGATTAATTAAATCCCCATTAAATGTTAATTTGTATATTAAAACACTTCTTTTAGAGCAATAAAATTATTAACTTTTAATTAATTTTATAGATTTAAAAAGTTAATTCTACATAATATTGACAAAAGAATAATCTTTGGATTAATACCTTATTACATTTAGAATATAACTAGATAAAATCCTAAATACACTTGAAAAATACAAGAATATTTTTGAAAGACAATATGATATGTAAAATGGAAGATTGTTAGAATTTAAGAACTCAGATTAAATTTCAATTAATATTGTATCTTCATTTTTGTTTATATTTTATAGTAATTATTTTAAAGTAATCATCATAATTTAATAATAGGTTAAAGATCTTTGGAAGAAACAAAATGATTTACTTGCCTATGATAAGATAATGAATACTAAATTTCAGAAAAGTAAATACATATATATATTATGATAGATGAAGCATTTTTGTTGTCATCAAGCTTTATATTGAATTCAAATAATATCATAAATAATAATAATAAAAGACTACTCTAAATTATAGGAGACCAAATAGAACCAAAACAATTAGTTGAATTGTTACCATCATTTTAAAAAACAATTTATAATAGTTTTGTCAATCAATATTTATATTAAGGTCTTGATATAAATTAACCTTTGACTCTATATATTTATAAAAATGAATATTTGGTAGAATGTAATTTGTATGTGTATGTCACAATTAGTAAAGATGATATTATTTNGTGCAAAGTAATCAATAATATTGGGTAGCCCCAACTCTTTTGTTGTTTTCAAAATTATTCATGATTACATAAAAGATAAATAATTATCAATATAACAGTTGGTACTATTTACAAATTTCAAATTTCATAATATCATATATTATAGTGTTTTTGATAAATCAATATTGGTAAGATTTAGTTTTGATTTATATTTTGTTGATAAGTATCTAAATTTCAATTAGGTAAAAGAAACTAGGTGAAGAATTATTTTCGAAAAATTCATAATAAAATTTATTCAAATATAGTATTTTTAGAAATCCTGAATTGATGAAGAATTTTTCATCATACTCGCATTTTTTTACAGCTACTTAAGAATAGAATATCATTAAGTACTAAAAATAAGTTTTATAAAATGGTAATATTTCTGATAGATTATCTATATTATAATATGTTTTCAAATATAAAAAAATACAACTCTATTTAAATTTAGTAAATATAGATAAAGCAAATTTAAGTTATTTACAATAATTAACTTTAGATGCAAATTTATTAAATGTCATTTAATCCTGTGATGGATTAATTAAATCCCCATTAAATGTTAATTTGTATATTAAAACACTTCTTTTAGAGCAATAAAATTATTAACTTTTAATTAATTTTATAGATTTAAAAAGTTAATTCTACATAATATTGACAAAAGAATAATCTTTGGATTAATACCTTATTACATTTAGAATATAACTAGATAAAATCCTAAATACACTTGAAAAATACAAGAATATTTTTGAAAGACAATATGATATGTAAAATGGAAGATTGTTAGAATTTAAGAACTCAGATTAAATTTCAATTAATATTGTATCTTCATTTTTGTTTATATTTTATAGTAATTATTTTAAAGTAATCATCATAATTTAATAATAGGTTAAAGATCTTTGGAAGAAACAAAATGATTTACTTGCCTATGATAAGATAATGAATACTAAATTTCAGAAAAGTAAATACATATATATATTATGATAGATGAAGCATTTTTGTTGTCATCAAGCTTTATATTGAATTCAAATAATATCATAAATAATAATAATAAAAGACTACTCTAAATTATAGGAGACCAAATAGAACCAAAACAATTAGTTGAATTGTTACCATCATTTTAAAAAACAATTTATAATAGTTTTGTCAATCAATATTTATATTAAGGTCTTGATATAAATTAACCTTTGACTCTATATATTTATAAAAATGAATATTTGGTAGAATGTAATTTGTATGTGTATGTCACAATTAGTAAAGATGATATTATTTTGTAAAATTTAATAGTTCTTAAAAATTAACCCAATCATTTTGCCATATTTGATTCAGAAGGGAAAATATTAGGAATATCATAATAAATATATGAATTTTTAATATCAAAATCGGATAATTCTTTTACTAAAAAGCTAACAATTTCTGAATTCATCCAGTAAGGAATGATTTAATATTATCTTCCAGATATATATTGTCATATCTAAGAATTAATAAATTAATATTCTTTAGGAACATATCAATAAATAATTAATATTACTTCGAGATGGTAATTTCCTGTAAATCATAAAAAATGCCTAGAATAAACTTAAACTTTAGGACTTGTTAATGATGAAGCTACTATTTCTTCATAATTAAAAAAAAAAGTTTATTCATCTTCCACAACAAGATAAACTATTTCTAAATAACATAAATTAACAGATGAAATGCCAATCATTAAAAATGCTAAAATAAAAATTATGTAATAACATATGATGAATTAAATACAAACTCTTGTAGTTCCCCCATCAAGAATCAAAAATATAGATTTTGAAGGATCTTTGGAATTTGTATAATAAAAATTTATAGATTCAGAAACTAATTACTTTATTTTAAAATTTAAATAAATAGAAGAATTTTAATAATAAAAAATAGCTTAAATTCCATAAATAGAAGATATTTAAAATTCATCATTAATAATTGATGAATCATAATTTGAAGGATTATAATAAGATTATGAATTCATTTCAAATCTTATAAAAAGTAAGAAATTATATACTCCATTAAAGTACAATATTTGGATTCTCTTATTAATGATTTCAGTTACCACTATTTCTTTAGTTGTGAGTTATCTATTAAATTATGATAATATGATTAATTAACAATATGATGTCAATTTTTTAAATACTCCTTAAGCTATGACATTCAATATTGGAGCTTCATTTATATTGATGTGGAATTAGTATTGTATTTAAAACAAACTCTATGTAATTAGTCCATATTTAGAATTTAGAAGACAAAATTAATTAATATATGTATTTGATTTCTGGGGTAGTGTTCATGAAGAATATACAATGAACTTAAGTAAGAAGAGTACTTAGTTAGGTTTTGATACAATTGATTTAATTAGTTATTAGAATGGTAAAAAGATTTAATCTTACTTGGATTACTATTAATTTTATGCTATAATGAGAGAAGCATTAGTTAGGCAGTTTAAAAAAACAGACTTTAAGAATATCACTACTTTTGACCCTGATATACTCAAAACAAATGGACTAATTAGATAGAATATGTTAAAAATATATAAATTTCACAATTTTGTATTAGATGAAATGATTTAATCAACTGAGCAATCTTTTTCTTAATTTGAGAGTAGGACATTTATATTTTGTGTATATTCTTCAATAGTAATAGTATTTCTGTTGATTATATTCTTTATTATTAATTGTAAATTATTAAGAACAGAAACAAAATTAATTAGACTATTATAATACTTAAATATAAAAATAATTTAAGAGTAGATAGTAATTTTACATTTTTAAAAAGAATAATTATCAAAATTATTATTGAATTAATTTTAATAAAAATATGAACCTGTCATTCAAAAATAAAGTGAAAAAATAATGATTAATTAATCAAAATTTAATCCATTAAGCAAATTAGAAAATTACAATGAGAAATATACTTTATTAATAATTTTATCTTTAATAATTGGTTTTGAACTTATATTATTTATATTTGGATCTTAATTGATTTCCAAATTATATAATAGCCAATATTAAAGTAGTCTAATACTTACTATGAAGTATTTAAAATTGAAATCAAGACTTGATTCTGCTGTAATTGTAGGAGAAGTCATAAAAACTGAACATCTAATAAAAAACAATAGTGCAATAGATTACATTAATTAAACTGATCATATTTAATTCTTTTTCAATAATATTGATGTTTTACTTAATCTTTCTAATTAGATTAATAATGAACTTGTTACTACAACTTCATATAATTAAACATTTCAATAACAATTAATTGATATCTTTAATGATGATCTCTGTACTTATTACTCTAGTATATTGAGTTTTTGTATAAAAGATAACATTAAATAAGAATATTATGAAAATGAAAATTATCTCACTTTGATTGATAAGGGTATTTATGGGATAATTTAAGACTTAAATAAATTATCTAAATAGGAATTCAATTTTGAACAAGTAAATTTACTTTATGAATATGATTAGAATCATTCAGATTAATATCTATAATTATCCCTTCATGCTCATTTATTTTTACAATACTTTATTGAATTACAAACATGCATCTATTTTTGTTTTTTAGATATTTTTACTGAAACACAGATATTAAGTAATAAATTATCAAATTAAATCTTAACTTATCTAATCACTTCATCAATAGCGTAAAATATATATATATATATTTATTTTAGATTTCTTATCTTTACTTCTTTTGTATCTGCTTTTTGGATAACAAAATAGTATAATAGATTAAATTAATTGAAATTGATTGCTACTTTGTTTCCACCTGCTTTAATACATCAGAAAGGATTTAATAAATTGTTGTACTCTTAATTAATCCAGATTAAATGAAATATTATTACTTTTATTTCATTTTTAATATCAACTAAGTAATTTAATAATATATTTTTATACATTCTGATCTACTGTTTTATAACAATTAAAATGTAATAAATTGATTAATATATAAATTTTAATTATTATATATGTTTAGCTAATAATATACTTTTATATATTTGATGTTTAAATTAAATATAAATCAAATAAAGATATATATCAATAATTAATTCAATATTCTTTTAAATATATTTATTATATTTAGTATTTGTAAAAATAAAGTTCATAGGATAATATTTAATATTTGGAGTTAATAATTAAATGTTGGTTTTGAATATTATTAGTAGAATTTGTTTAAATGGAAATATTTAGATTTAAATTATTAGTTTATGTTTTAAAAAAATTCTAAATTTGTAATTAAGGAAGAAATCTAATATTTAGAGATTGATTAATATAAAATAGAATTTAATAAATATTATGATAACTCTTCACTTTTATTACAACATGGAAAAACCTATTTGTGAAAAATTTCAACTTATTCCTGTAAAATTTAGAAAGAACCTTTGTTAAAGAGTTAGAGATTTAAAAGCAAGATAGCAAAGAAAGAAAAAGAAAAAGGAAAGAGGAAAATATAGAAGCTATAGTCTAAATTTAAAAATTTGTGCGCTCAAATGGATTGAGGAAGGAAGAGATGAAAGAACTATAGCTGAAGAATTAGATATTCCATTAAAGAACATAAGAAGATGGAAAAAACAAGGTCCTTTTCGTAAGAAAGGTTGTGGGCGCAAATCAATTGATTTAGAGATGGAATAAAAATTGGCAGCATGGTGTCATGAAACTATTAGAAATACTAATAAAAGAGTATCTCGAGCCATGATTTAAACATAAGCCTTGAAAATGATTAAGTAAGGAGTAGATTTCAAAGCAAGTAAAGGATGGACAGATAAATTTGTTAGAAAATATAAACTAATTAGAAATAAAAGAATTTCAAAATGATCAAATATAATATTAAAATATAATAATATTTATGCAATCACCTCAATTCTAGAAATCATATGAGAATTCATCAAAAAGTGAATAATTTACTTACGGATGGTTACCAATTAAAAATGATGTGGAATAATCAATAATTTCCTATCTAGATTAACTGGGAATTAATCAACTGACTTAAGTTGAAAAGCATTGCAATTAAAGAAATTCATTATATAGTCTTGATGCAGCATTAACACCTCCAAAATAACAGAGGCGAACATCATTAAAAATGGACTCAGAACTTTTTCAAAGAAGAAGCTTTAGAATGTGTTCTGATTAGATATGAATTAAAAACGAAAGAATAGAGAATAATTAAACTTTTTATATTATTTATATTTTATTTATCTCTACATGTTCATTAAATGAATTCAATTTCTATTTACTTCACTAATTATTGATTTAAAAGGAATACCCAATCTAATATCTGTATACTAATTATATGATATATAATAGATTAAAGTATTTAAATTAAAATATAAGACATATTCGAGAAATTCAAAAATCCTTATTTTCCATTAAAGAATAAGAATTAAGTAAAATTTAAACACTAAATGGAATTCTATCATTTCTAATATATAGTTTCTAATTATGTTAGAAGTTTACATTTTTACAAAAGATTAAATATAATTGAAATCTATTTTAACAAATTAATGTTGAAGTAGGAATTTTCCTGAAAATATTTAATAATAGTTGTAAAACTAAATCCTTAATTTTTTTATAATCTATTATTTTCTTCTAGTTTTAATTTTGCAAAAAGTAATTAAAAAGATATTTAAAATTGGGAATATCTAAATCAATATTTTACAATTATGATAATAATCATATATAATAATATTTATATATATATATAGGAATGGTAGATAAATATATTTAATCATATGTTATGAAATTATAATTAAAATTAATTGTAATTCTATTCACTATTTTATTTTCATATCTGATAAAATATCCAATAATTTATGGATTAGTGTAATAATATATGTATAGGGGATTTTAAATAATTCACAATGAATAGAATCGGTTTATTAGAATTTTAATAAAATAAAGCTTTCTATTGTAAATGAGTATATTAAATATTATGATAATTAATAATTTTTTATCCGTTATCAAGTATCAAATTAATTTTCCCCATTATGACTTAACAGTTCATTAATGAATGTATTGATTTATGTTATATTTTGAATTGTTATCTATGTTAATTCCAAATTATAATATATATATGAGAAATTTAATTGTTTTAAATTTAATAATGAAAATTAATAATAAAGAATTTTGGTATTATTTCAAATGCTTTATTGATATTGCTCTATCAGGAATAATTTATGGTTATTTAAAAGATTCTTTTATTGTATCCATCAATACAATTATAATTCAATTTCTATGCATTTTATTATCACCTTGTATAGCAAAGAAATTTGGTAACAAAAAGAGAAAATACATATAAATTGTAATGTTATTAGCATAATTGGTACAAATATATTATTGTTGCTTTTATTTTACAGAAATATTGAGATATGGTTATCTGCTTATTAAATTTTATGAGAAACAATTAATTGATGTTCTATAGAAATAAATTAGTTACATCATTTTAATTGTATTGAATGCTTTATAATTATTTTTGATGATATCTTAAAATGAATAAGGAGTTACATACATTACAGTAGGTTATGCAACTATGTTGATCTTTAAAGAAAAACATTAAATAATTAAAAAATAAGAGAAAATTAAATTTGAATAGTTATCAAAAACAGAAACCAAAACGACATCAACATAAATAAGATAATCTTTATTAATTAATCGTATTAGTGAAACTGTTAGTTTAAAGTGGATGAATAAATTATAAAGTTTTCCTGTTGGAATAGTAATAGTAAAAAAGGATAATTTAGAAATTTTATTTGAAAATGATTAATTATTATAAATATTTTAAGCAGAAAGGGATATAGGTAGATTTATTCTTGAAAATTTAGAATGTACAATAATATAAAAGAAAAATACTTATTTTATGCATCAAACAAGCATTGTGTTAGATAAAAATAGTTATTTTTAAGCTTCAGGTTCTATCAATTTAACATAATAAAAAATATAAAATAAGACTTTCACTATTAAACAAATTTTAAATTTATTAAATTTAGGATAATTAGAAAAAATTAAAGCACATGATGAATAATTAGAATTATCTGCTACATTTTGTAAAGGAAATGAAGCATTTTATGATGAGAGAAATCTATTATTTAAAATTTCATATGCTTAAGATGAAAATGAATATTTGATAATAATTTAAGATATTACACTTTAAACTAATTTTAAAAAAATGGAAACAAAAGAATAATTTATTGTAAAAATGATTGATTCATTTTCACATGAATTAAGAACACCATTAAATAGTGCAGAATTATTTTTATAAGGATTAAGTTAAACTAATTAATTACCAATTTAATTAAAAGAACATTATATTGATCCTGCAAAAAATTCATTAAGATTATAAGCTTACATAATAAGAGACATAATTGATTTTACATAATTCAATTAGAAGATGATTAAATATCACTTTTCAGATTTCAATTTTGTGGATATCATTTAAGAAATTAATGATTTATTTAAACTTATTTTTTAACATAAGAAAATAGGATTACATGTAAATGCTCAAAGATCTATTCCAAATATTATAAAGTCTGATTATTATAGGATAATGTAAATCTTAGTTAATATTATATCAAATTCAGTTAAATTTAGTTCTTAAGGTTAAGTTGAAGTAATAATTTAAGGATTTGATGACTATGTATTATTTAGTATATAAGATTAAGGATAGGGTATAGAACCATAACTATTAGCAAAAATCTAATAAACTCTTTAAGATTTTGCTTTGAATAGAAGTATATCTTAATAACATGAATGGTAAGGTTTAGGACTTTTAGTAAGTTAGATGAATTTGATTACTTTGGCTCCTTAAAATAAATCATATCTTTAAATTACTTCTAAAGGCTTGAATTAAGGAGTTGAAGTTAAATTCAGAATTAAGACTCAAACTTAAGTATTCTCATAATAGTTAGGTTAATTTAAAACATTTAAAAGAGGATCTCTAGCAACACCTAATACAGTTCCTGATCTTAGTGAAGGTTTGTAAGGTATTTATATAAAACTATAATATTAGGATTATTAATCATAGCTAATGCTGAATATAAAAATACATCAGTTAAAAATATACCTGTAAAGGATCTATCTTCAGTGGCTAATTATTATGGGTAACCATAATCGAATTAAATACTTGGAATTTAATTTGAGACAGATATTTAAATTTAAGGTAGAAAGAGATATTATATTAGTATTTAGATACTGATAGATTTGGTTTGACTCATCAACTTATTTAGATATAATCAAATTTCAATCCTAAATTTATTATTAATAAACATAGATAAAACTCATTAGCATCTAGAATGTAATAAAGAATTGATGATCAGAGTTAAATATAATCTAATTTTAGTAAAGTAAAGATTAAATTTAAATGTTAATGTTAAAGAGCTTTGTCTGTAGATGATGATTCTTTTAATTAAAAGGCTCTTGAAATGATTCTTGGATAGATGGGATTTGAAATATAATTAGCATATAATGGTTAATAAGCAATAGAGACTATTAAAAATACAAAAAAATGTTGTGAAGATTGTTAACTTTATGTTTTCATTTTGATGGATTGTTAAATGCCTATTTTAGATGGATGGCAAACAACAAAAAGATTAAAAAATATGATGAATGGAAATATCATTCCATCTATTCCTATTATTGGTTTAACTGCTTTTAATGGATAATATGAAATAGAAAAATGTTTTGAAAGTGGAATGTAAAAGGTTTTAACTAAACCATTGAATATTGATGATTTCAAATAAGCATTGATTCGTATTTATAGGTTAGTAGTTTGATGAATTAGTAAAGTAATATGAATTATTTATTTGACATGATATAATTTTCAAATTTTCTTATCACCTTAA